TGGAGGGCAGTGTCACTGGCCCTCATATGTGGGATCCGAACCGGGGCCCTCTGGCATCCCAAGCGAGTTCTTAACCATCGCGCCACTCGGCCGGCCCTTATAGGGTTAGTTTTTTTTCTACAATATATTTCTTTTAAAAGTTCCTTTAGGGATAATTGATTGGTTGAAACTCTAAAACTAGCAGTTTTTGTTTGCTTGAAAATGTATTTTTTCACCCTCCTTCTTGAAGGATAACTTCACGTATATACAACTCTCAGTTGATACATTTTTCCTCAGAATTTTGAAAGTATTATTTCACTGTCTTCTAATATTATCATTACCGATGAAAAATTTGGTTTTGGTCTAATTTTTTTTTTAATTGTCTTTTTATGTAGGTGTTATCTTTTCTCTCTCTCTTTAAAGCCTTTCTCTTTATTGGTGAATTGCAATTTGTTTACAATTGGTCTATGGAAGTTCTTTCATTTGTATCTGAGGATTATTGTATTTGATCAGTTCTAGAAAATTGTTAGGTATTATTTTATTGCCTCCCCATTCTTTTTTTCTGTAACTTTGATTAGATGAGTAATAGACCTTCTTACTCTGTCCTTTGTGTTTCTTAACTGTTTTGTATTTTCTGTTCCTTTCTCTCTGTGCTGGATTTTGTGTAATTTCTTCACATTTGTCTTCCAATTTGTTATTGCTCTCTTTAACTATATCTGTTACTTAACATTAACTGACTTTATAACATCGATTATTGTATTTGTCATGTTTAGATATTGCATTTGATTTTATTTCAAATATGCTTGATCATTTTTTATAATCTCTTTTTCCTTCTCTAAAATTTTCTTTTATTTCTTTAACTATAGTAAGCATAATATTTTATATTTGGCATCTAAAAATTCCAACATCTTCAGTCTTTGTGGGTCTACTTCTGCTGTTAGTTTTTTTCCTTAGCCTTTTTTTTAGTAACTTGTTTCCTCATGCATTTTGTGCTTTTTGATTCGAAGCTTATACTCTTTGGAACTTTATCTGTGGGAATTCAGAGGTTGTTGTTTGTTTATGCTAGACACCTAGACGCACTACTGAGCCAGGATCATTTGAATAAACAGAATTTTTGGCTAGGAGTTGTAGGGCTGCCACACAGAAACTGTGGGTTTTGACCTGTGTAAGGACGGGCTTGTGAATTCTTAGGGGAAGTTTTTTTCCTTTCCACCTCAGCCTAGATATGAACAAGCAAGTATAGTAAGGTGCCTTTAAGGATGGGGATACATTCTGAGAAACGTGTTGTTGGGCAACTTAGACGTTGTGCGAACGTCATAGAGTGCACTTACACAAACCTAGATGGTGCCTACTGCACACCGAGGCTACATGGTACAGCCTATTGCTCCTAGGCTACAAGCCTGGACAGCGTGTTACTGTATAAGACAACATGAGATTAAATCAAGCACGAGAGAGAATGATGCCATCGAGAGACATGATAAACATGAGCTGGATGAGGCTGCTGCCAGCGAAACAGGGTTTTACAGCAAACTTTTTATTAGTAGAAAGAGTACACTCTAAAATAACAATAAAAAGTATAGTATAGCAAATACACAAGCCAGAAGCATAGGTGTTTATTACCATTATCAAGTATTATTTACTGTACATGATTGCATGTGCTATACTTTTATATGACTGGCAGCGCAGTGGGTTTGTTTATACCAGCATCACCACAGACACATGAGTAATGAATGTATTGCGCTATGAAGTTACAACGGATATGGTGTCACTGGGTGATGGGAATTTTTTAGCTCCATTATAATCTTGTGGGACCACCATCATATATGCAGTCTCTTATTGACCGAAACATCATTATGTGGCCTATGACTATATCCTCGGCGTCTCCTTCTTCAAACATTTCCCTAATTCATCTACTGACGGTGTCACCTTTTAGGGTCCCAACTTTATGCAATCTTTCCTATGGCCTCTCACTCTGTGCAGGTACCTGGCTTTGTCTCACAGATCCCACAGACTCAACCCACTAAAACTCAAGGCCAGGAGCCAATGAAGTTTTCTATAAAGGGTCAGATATAAATATTTTAGGCTTTGCAGGCCATGTGGTCTCTGTCGCACCTACTCAGCTCTGCCCTTGTAGCATGAAAGCAGGCATAGACAATACATTAATGAATGGGTGGGGCTGTGTTCCAATAAAACTTTATTTACAAAAACAGGTGGCAAGCTTTATTTGGCCTCTGGACTATAGTTTGCTGACCTCTGCTCTTGGCCATTGGGAATTGGCAAATGACCTCAATTGGCAGATGCAAATTTCATCATTTCCTTACCTATTTAGAGTCGGACTTTCTTCCTAGGTCAGGTCTCTGAGGATTTTACTTAGGATTTTGCCAGTCCTGTCATGCATTTATAAAGATGTTTTAAATGCAGTTGAGTTGTTCTGGGCCGGGAGGGTTTCTCTGGATGTCTAGTCCACCATTGGTACAGATTTTCTCAGACTGTCAAGCTGCTCAGAGACCTTTAATAAGCACACTTGCCTAACTTAGTGAGTTCAGACTTCTCAGGTGGGCATTTAAGGCTTTTGACTCTCTGTCTGTATCCGGGCTTTCCATGTCTTAGCTCCCTTACAATTACCATGCTTTCAGCCAAATTAGAATACTCAGCTTTCTTGAATAAGCCTTTCCCCCGCCCCATCTCTCTCCCATTTTTGTGCTGTTCCCTGTACTGTCCTTACATGTCTGTTTCCCATGGCAACAGTAGCCAGTTATAAGATGCTTTTTATCTTCAGATCTCACCTCAGATACCACCTCCTTTATTTTCATCTCAATTGGATATACTCTGTCCCTCCTCAGTGCTCTGCCTTATGTTATGATTATTTGTAAAGTTGTTTAGACCACCTCTGCTAAATTGTAAGAGAACATCCCTTATCCAACTTTGTCGGCTTCTCTCCTTCCTCACAGAGCACCTAGCATTAAATATTGAGACTAGCATGTACTTAAATATTTGCAAAATGAATGAATACGTAACATTTTTGTGTTAACTTGGGAAAACTCAATATTTTATTGTAAGGCCCATGTTATTTTTCAAAGGTCCATCTTTAGTTCTTCCTTAGGCTTATCAGCCACTCATTACAGCCATCGCATTCCTTCAGAAAGGAATGACAACCATGCTTATGTCCTACAACCCATGTACAATCTCTTTTCATGGTGTTTGAAGTTATTGCTGGCCAAATAGTGACAACACCCAAAGATAACTACTGATAATAATGTACATATTGTTAACGTTTCCCATTGACAATAAGCACTCTTTCATGATATGGTGTTTTCATGGCTACTTAGTAATCCATCATACAGATATAACATGATTCACGTCTGACCAGTCCTAATGTTAGACTTTTAACATAATACGAGCTGTGATCAAACAATACAGTGAATGTTTACATTAAAAAGAATTTATTATAGTAAAAGACCCATTGCCATTAATCCCCCTCAAAATACCCCTCCCCTCTTCCAACACACTTATCCCATTGTTCTTGCCACTTTCTGAAGCAGTTCTGGAAATCCTCTTTCGTAAGTGTCTTTAGTTGCGCTGTTGTGGCTGCCTCGACGTCCTGAAGTGATTCAAAACGTTTGCCTTTCATGGTCATTTTGACTTTGGGGAAGAGCCAGAAGTTGCATGGTGCCATATCTAATGAATAAGGTGGATGAGGACACACTGTAATGTTTTTATTTGACAGAAATTGCCATATACCAGAAGCGATGTGTGACATGGAGTGCTGTCATGATGGAGGATGATTTATAGCACACTTTAAAACACACCTCTCAACCGTAGCTCACACCCAACTGACAGCACTGAACAAGTTGAAACTTGTCACACATTGTTTCTAAGGTTCAATGCACTGCTTCCCGTATTGATCCCTGCCTTTCTGTTGGATGGCACTTGGCAGCAGCATTCACCATAGTTTTTTACCACAACAGAGAGGCTCCGTGTCACATGTCATTTCTGGTACATCAATTTCTGTCAAATAAAAACATTACGGTGTGTCCTCATCCACCTTATTCACTGGATCTGACATTATGAGACTCTGGCTCTTCCCCAAAGTCAAAATGATTCAGGACATCAAGGCAGCCACAACAGCACAACTAAAGACACTCATGAAAGAGGACTTCCAGAACTGCTTCAGAAAGTGGCAGGGCCGGCCGAGTGACGCGATGGTTAAGAACTCGCTTGGGATGCCAGAGGGCCCCGGTTCGGATCCCACATATGAGGGCCAGTGACACTGCCC